ACTTGAACCACTGACCTCTTGGTTAGCAGCTGAGTGAGTCAAACGTCTGCGCAACCCAGAGCCTAAGAACATGACCCTTATTATCTTTCTCCAATTTTAACTGTCCAGGGTTTTCAGTTAGTGTCTAATGATATAATTTTTGATACCACCTCTGATGTATTAAGGCCACAGATGAACACGATGCTCATTTTCATTAAAGAAAGTCATACACGTATAGTGTTTAAAACCGAGCATGGCACATGTTCAGTGCTCAATAAATGGCAGCCTGCATTACTGCCATATTCTTTGTAGGGTATTGGTGTTGTTCGTACCGTCCTGACCCATCGCAACCCCACGTGCAGAGAAGAACTGCCCTATCGGGCTTTCTAGGATGTGATCTGTACGGGAGCAGATCACCAGGTCTTTTTTCCCGGGGAGCTGCTGGGTGGGTTCGAACAACCAATCTTTTGGTTACCAGCCAGGCACTTAACAGTTGCACCGCCAGTGCTCCTTCTGCAGTGCACAGCTACCACGTCATTAAGCCAAATACACTGATGGCTTCAACAGCCAAATACATTGATGGCTTCAACAGCCAAATACACTGATGGCTTCAACAGCCAAATACATTGATGGCTTCAATAGCCAAATACATTGATGGCTACACTATGCAACCACGTCATATAAAATTGAGCCCATTTTTTCTTTTTTTCTAGTTCCAAACTCAACTAGAAGCACCTAACTTTAGCTCCAGTTTTTCAAAAAGATTGTTATTTAAAAGTCTATTAACCAAGGAACAGGTGCCTCAAAGAACACAATGTATCAACTTTTATTTCTTCTTCATTCAAGGAATCCTTGCCCAGAATACAAATAAGCTCTCAAGGTGAATAGCAAATGTTCTTTTTAACATAAAAAAGGACTTGCTTTTCTTTGTGAAGGAAAGAAAGCAATTGATTCAAGGATACCTCCTTAAAAATTTTTTAAAAATCTAGTTTTTACTAAGATATTGCTCCCGCTTGGTAGAAAATAAATTAGTACATAAAAGAGCCTGCCCAGAACTGTAAAAGCTCTATTCAAATCCAGGCCTTAGTGCAAAAGATAGCTAAAGATCAATCCAGGCTACGAAAAGTAGGGAAGGAAATGTGTTCCAACTAAATTTTATAAACCGTACTGTATGTCAAACAAGTTACTGAGACCAGGCAGGGCGTTTAAGGCTTTCAGGAACCATTTTTATTCTGCTAATGTCTTTCTCGCCAGACTCCACTGAGCAGAAATGCAACCTGTCTACCTCCACCTTTGATAAATGGAAGGACGAACTCATCTGCATGTGATGTACCGCCTTTTTTCTTTTACACAAAACAGATGCCACAGCTGTTATTGTTCTTTTGACAGATGTTTCTGCCCACTACGCTACAATGTGCTATTTGTTCTAGAAGGGTCAGTGGCTTGATACCTTGTCAAAGGCCCTCGGTGACTGTAGCCAACATATGTGTGGTCGGCGGTCTTACCCACTTTGTGCCCCCCGAGCTTGTCTTAGGAGTGAAATAGATAGTCCTTTTTAAGCACTTGCCTGCTCTGCGGGGACATCGTCGGACGCGCTGGATAATCCAGCAATTTCCACAGCTTCTTGACGCTCGGCGCGCTGGGTTTCTGGTTGGCTATCAACGGGTGCCTCTTCGTGTCCCTTGTCCACTTTGAAGAGTTTGTCGAAAAAGCTGGTGTCCTTGCGCTTGGAGGGGGCTGCTCCCCGTGACTCAGTGGGGAGAGGCGCTGGTCCCCAAGAGGCAGAGGTAGCTTCGGCTTCAGCGGGGGTCTGCCCTGAGGTTTTATCGGGGCCGGGTCCCGCTGCAGCTGCCACCGGGAGTGCCATGTTCTCACTTGGGGCTTTGTTCCCTGGGGACTTATTGGAGCGGACATCAAGCTGTACCGATCCAGTGGATGAATCTGCGGCTTGGTCTCCAGCACGTCCTGGTACAGGCTGAGACACTGTCAAGAAAAAACGAGATAGAGCAGCTGGGGCCTGGGTTTGGCCTCTTTCCCAAGATTCTTTCCGCTGGCATCGGCAACGCTGCTTATCTCCATTGTCTTGGGGGAAGAAGCGGCCACATTATCCTCTGGGACACTTATTCCCAAATCGACTATAAGCACAAACATAAACAGCAGTTATTCAACCGAGCGAGGAAATTCAAGGATTCATAATGGACTCCAAACGCTTTATAGACAGAGGCCGTGATGCACACTGGGACTGTGTTGTGCTCTGGGAAGCAGAAGTTAGCCACCTCGACACTTCCTGATCCTGCTCTTCTTGGAAGAGGGGAAGGGAAGGTTGGTGAGGAGGGAAAGCCAATTACTGCAAACCCACTCGCTCCTGGAGCTGTACTATTCCGCCACACCTTAACTATTCTCTTTCACCTTCTTGGAACCCTGGGGAAAAATATTGTCACCACATCAACTGGGAGGCAGTTAGTACAGCAGTAAGAGTGTGGACTCTGGAGCTACAACAAGGTTTCTCAGCCTCGGCATTGCTGGCGTTTGGGGCTGGATCATTCTATGTTGGGGGCTGTCCTGTGTATTGTGGGATGTTTAGCAGCATCCCTGGCCTCCACCCATTAGGTGCGGGTAGCCTCTCCCCAATTTGACAACCCAAAATTGCCCAATGTCTTGTAGGGGGCACCACGGCTCCCAGTCAAGAGCGACTGAGCTAGAATGTCTGTTTGATTCCAATTTACTTAGCTTTTCTGCGCTTCAGTTTTCTGGTTAAACGAAGCAAATAACAGAACCTACCTCACAATTTCGTTATGAGGATTACATGAGGTAATATTCTTACAGCGCATGGAACAGTACCTGGAATATAGTAACTGCTCAGTAAACGTCACGAACGTTACGCCTGACGTCATACACGGGTGAGAAAACGGAGAGCTAGAGACGCAGGTTCACCTGCCCGAGGCGCCCGGAGGTTGCTGAGTGGCAGAGCCCGCTTGCGAGCGGAAGAGCGGAAATCCGACCCCTAAGTTCCCGCTGTCGCTCTTTTACCATATTTATTGTTAGTTGCCACCGAGTCAGCGCTAACTCATGGTGACCTTGTCCATAACAGGAGGCAGTGCTGCCTGGTCCTGTGCTATCTTCATGATCGTTAGGCATGTTTGAGACCATATGATCTGCACTTCTGTATTCTGTTGGCAGTACTGGAAGATTTTAAAGGGATACTCAGGAAGTTACCAGTTTAAAGGCTGGAAGAGCAGAGGTCCACACAAGAAGACAAATCAGACCTCAGGCTCGTGTGGATTAAAAGGCATAGGGCGAGCTGTCCACGACGGTGTGTGCAGAAGCACGTTCTGCCTTCTCCAGGGAAGGGTACTGTCTCCAGTATCCACCTGTTCCTGTTCTCACCTCTGTCTTGACCTAGAACTGAACTGCCTTCTCTTCTAGGTCCTTTTTATAAAGCAGTGTGATATTGTTGGGAAAAAATATACTAAGAAATTCAGAATCACATTGAAAGATCAAGATTCTCTACTGGTAAGCTTGTGATCTCAGGGCAGTCACCAAAAGGCTTTGAATTTCTGCATTTGTAAAATGGGCACAAGAGCAGCCCCCTTACAGACCTGTTGGGGACCTAAAGGAGAAAACCTGTACAGAAAATCCTGGCACAATGCCTTTTCCCACGGTAGGTGCCTGATAATTGACAGATACTGTGTGGTGCAAATGCTGAACGTGCTCAGCTGCCGACTGAAAAAGTTGGCCGTTGAGTACACCCAGGGGCGCTTTGGAAGAAAGGCCTGGCAATCTACTTCTGAAAAATCAGCCACTGAAAGCCCCGTGGAACACAGTTCTACTCTGACGCACGTGGGGTCAACAGGAGTTCAAATTTACTTGACAGCACCTGGTTTGGAGATTATTTTTAAGTTTCTTCCCAGGCCTTTGCCAATACTGCATTTTGCTTTATACATTTGGAGCTAGATGCTCCTTAATATCTATTTGCAGAAAGAGAGAAGAGAAAGGGGAGAATTGAAATTTCTTTTGGTGGCTTGCGTTGCTCATTAATATGTAATAGGACACACACACACACACACACACACACACACACACACACACACACCCATCAGCAATTGTTTTGCCGAACACACATGTCTAGATTGAGAGACTGAGAGAGAGCAAGCTGGATTCTCACACAACATTGCAGTCTCCTCATTAAGCACTGAGGAGCAGAGAGGAAACGGCCACAACGCCCAGTGGCGAGAACTAGAGGCTCCTCTCAAACCCAGACCTCAAGGAAATCAGTGTGCTGGCGTGATGGCTGTATCTTCCAGCTCTTCTTAACCTTTTTTCTGTGGTCCAGGAATTTATAATCGTGGTAAATATTATTCTCGTGGAGGGCAGAGAGGGAGACACTGTAGGCAGGGGAGAGAGAGGGAGAGTGAGGAAGTGATGGATGGAGGTGTCGGGGAGCCAAGGCAGCAAGTGAGGAGGCTGAAGTGTCAGGGTGCATATAAATGAATTGTGGGAATGGCCCATGCCAGGAGAAGAGGAAACAGCTGACAAAAAGGGAGAGGCTAAGATTCCAAACAAGGAAGGGTTTTTCAAAATGCTAAGAGCATCGACTGATTTCTTTCAGCCTTTTCCTCTCTTCCCCACCCTCTGGCTAGGAAACAGAGGAACTAGCGGTAGGCAATAGTGTTATAAACCCGCTGCATCGAGTTGATCCCAACTCATAGCGACCCTATAGGGCAGAGGAGAACGGCCCTATAGGGTTTCCAATCTTTACAGAAGCAGATTGCCGCATCTTTCTCCCACAGAATGGCTCGTGGGTTCAAACCACCAATCTTTCAGTTAGCAGGCGAGCTCTCTACAGTCAAAGAAGAAGTCTTTAGAGAAAAAAAAAATTGTCTGGATGGATTTTTTAAAAGTGCCAATCTACTGCTTTGATAAAGATAAGGTCCTTACTCTAGGTCTCTGATCTAGACTTCTACACAGAGATTTCGGCAGATGGAAAAAAAGCCAAAACAAAAACAAACAACCCTCTTGACATCAGAGATTGGGTTAAAATGTTTCTGATAACTTGTTAGAGAACTAGGACTTCTTAGATGACAAATTGTTTGACAACTGAAGCTCCGTCCCCCAAACTGGAGTGGGAGTGGGTGAATACTTACATCTGTTACTGGAGCTTCTAGTTTCCAGGCTAACATACTCACCTTCCAGGTGGGCACACGACCTAAACTAGATCAATAAAAATTATTTCTGAGACTTTGGCTGGACCTCTTAGAAAAAAGTTGTACTGTTTGTGCTTGGGTTGCCAAATCAGCAGGGGATACATGTGGAGGTGGTGGTGGTTTTAGTCATCACATTGGGAAGTAATTATTTGAGAATGAAACCGACAGGGACAGAAGCAGAGCCAGGAGATCCAAAGAGCAGATATCCAAGGATATCATAGGGACACCTAGATCCAGCTGTGCCTGAAGCCAATTTTATTGCCAGGCTTTAAAGTTACATGAATCAATAAATCCTGCTTTTCATGTATGCCAATTTAAACTGAGTATATACTCACTGACTTGGAGAGAATTCCAAGTACCTCTTCATTTGCTAATTACAAGCAATCAATCTTCTTCTAGGAAAGCTATCTTGGGCTCTTCAAGTCTGCCTCATAGGCGTTTAGGTTGAGAGGGAAGATGGCAAAGAGAACAAAGTAGGAGGAAGTGAGTTTTGAGGAACTGGATAGAAATGAAACATCCTCACCAACACTTTGTCTTCTCAGTAAAAGTGAAGGAAAAAAATCCACTCAGGGAGAAGAGATGGCGGTCATTGAGACCTTAGGGAAACATTGAAACCAATAAAATACACTCTAAACCATGGACTGCCAAAGAGTGAACAAATCTGTCTTAGAAGAAGTACAGCTAGAATGCTCCTTAGAAGCAAGGATGGTGAGACTTCGTCTCACGTACTTTGGACGTGTCATCAGGAGAGACCAGTCCCTGGAGAAAGACATCATGCTTGGTAAAGTAGAGGATCAGTGAAAAAGAGGAAGACCCTCAACGGGATGGACTGACACAGTGGCTGCAACAATGGGTGCAAGCATAAGCAATGGCTGTGAGGATGGCACAGGACCTGGCAGTCTTTCATTTTGTTGTACGAAGGGCTGCTATGAACTGGAACCAATCTGACAGCGCCTAACAACGACAAAGCATTAACCATGCCCAAAACCAATCTGTGTGAGTGAGCAGGAAGAAAAGCCCACTGGAGCTACAGGTTTTGCACTCTTGCAAAGATGGGAATGGCTTACACGCCTTCCTCATATCATTATGGAAAGAATAAAAAGTTCCTTCTAGAAGACTGGATCCAAGCTTTCAGTTCATATGAAAAATCTTGGGAGAAACCCTTCTTGAATCTGATTTCAATAAAAAGTTTCCTCATAAAGCAGACAAGCAGATGAAATACCAAAGAGATTTTACTTTACTTGAAAAAAAAAATCTGCAAGAGCTTAAGATTAGGGGAGATAGAAAGAAATCAAATGAGTGTAAGTGGCAACACCCAAATATTTAGGGGAAGAGAGTTGAAAAATTTGATCTCCTTGTTGCAGAAAAGATAATTTGCATTGTGTGTGTGTGTGTGTGTGTGTCTGAAAGAAAATCATTTTATCTAGATGTTAATCAAGAACTTATTTCCAGTGGGAATTTAGCAGATTTGTTAAGAACCTAGATTGTAGATCAGAAGGAGCTGGCTTTGAATCTTAAATTCTCACTTAATAAAATATGTGACTTGGGGCAAGATGCTTCATCTAGCTACACCTCAGTTTTCTTATCAAATGTGTATGAAAATAATAGTACTTTCTTCAGGGGGTGATTGTGAGGATTAAAGTGAAATATTTTTCAGAAGGTATGTAACACAGGCTGGTATATGGTGGGTGTTTAGTAAACATTAGTTATTTATTTATACTTGCAGTCATCCTTCGGTATCCATGGGAGATCGGTTCAGGACCCTCCATGGATACCAAA